ACTACAATGCCTTCTGTCTCATCCCACGAAAACAATCTTCCCACCCTATAGACTACAAAAATCTATCCAACTTTTTACACAGCTTAACTGTCCTACCATTAGATCATGTAAACACTCCATTTGCCAAAGGGGGACCTAACAAAAGAAGTAAACATGAAGTGTTGCAAAAGACTAGGATAGGAAGCAAAACGGAATGTACCGGATTTTTAGCACATACAACCGTCAAACCAGAGACCAAAGCAGGGCTCGACAAAACATAAAGTATCATAGGACGTTGTCCTTCCTTGAAAATGGAACTTTCATGCTGGAGCAAGAAGTAGCATCCCTAAGCTTGGTTTCCCTAATAAAAGAATCAAAATCTTTCAATACTTTTTGTTGTTCTCTCCTCCATTCATCCTCTCCCTTGGACACCTTGTAACATTAAAATATCCCCCTATACACCATCTATGACCACACACCCTATATAGCCCTACTAATTTTTCCCACAATGAGACCCTAATCCTAGGCTTGTTAGGCCCATAAATCCCAGTAAACCACCAGCCATATCCCTCTCTACTTAACTCTAATTGAAACAGTAAATTCCCACTCAAGAGTTTCTTCCATGCTTATAGATCTCTTGTCCCGAATGATGACAATACCACGTGTACTCCTACAAAAAATAGAAAAACCCAATTTTAGAACCTAGACCACAAACACTACTAAAGACTCTTATCAATGACCTTCAACTTTGTTTCTTTTAAAGTAACTATATCTGTCCCAATTCTTCCCAAAAACTCCTCTATTGAAAACCTTTTCGCACACGACCTAATCCTTGGCATTCCAACTTAACAATCTTTATAAGAAACTATATAGATCCCTCCCCCACCTTTCTTACAACTATCACCCTCATAATTTATCCCTAACTCTAAATTTTTTAGCTCTCCCACTCCCTTTCTCTTCCTCTCATTTCTGCATTCATTTTTTTGCTTCCCTTGTTTTTTTGATGGAACTAGAGACAAATCCATTTTATATAAAAAATTCTTTAACACAACCCATTTTTCCTCGTCCGACAAAACACATTCATTATATTATCCCTACATCTGTCATCTATTCCCTCTCTATTCCTTTCACCCTTAAAGCTCACTATTTCCCCCAGTTGTCACGGCATCAGAGTTCACCCTCAAAGCTCAGTACATTATTTTTTTTGCTCCCCCCCCCCTTTTTTGATGGAACTAGAGACAAATCCATTTTATATAAAAAAATTCTTTAAAACAACCCATTTTCCTCTATTCCCTCTGTACTCCTTTCACCCTCAAAGCTCACTATAGCTCTAGTTGTCAGTACATTAGAGTTCATTGGACCAACATTAATTATGGGATATCTATCATCAAATTTGAATATATTGGATCACAGGTAGTAATAAGGGGAACACCTAATAAACTAGGTTCACCCAGACACCACAAATGTCTATTCTCCCCATGGACCTGAATTAGCTATATCACAGTTTGTGGAAACCAATTCTTTCCTATACCCATACTTCACTGAAGATAACATCGTCATTTTCTCATTCAATTCCATGTCATTCCACTAACACAATCAGACCCAGAACCAATACGGATATTGACACTCCCACCCTTGAAAAATTAAAATCACCAGAATGAACACCGATTTTGACACGCCTGTCCCCAGAAAAAAAAAAAGAACATCCCTAGGAGAAACCATCGGTGGGATTTTTTGGGAAATATTACCTTCTAAAGTACAAGGAAAGGCATTACAAATTACCTTAGATTCGTGATGGAGTATCATATTACCTTCTTCTTGAACAGATATCAACTTATCATCGGTAAACATTCTCACAATATCACCATATACCTCATCAGTCTGTATCTTTCTCTCGTTATCAATATCACAGCAATATAATGAATCCTCCAAACTCTTCTCCAACTCAGCATTGTCATACCACTCTCTCGCAGCAAGCATAGCATTGCTGCAATCTTTGTAACCAAACCAAGACTTATGTTCCAATCATTTTAGGTCGGCTATATGAGTCCGTCTTCGTCATTCATTTCGATCATGTGCTATACAGTCATTTAAGTTAAATATTTTTTTATTATTTTTTTCAATGTTAATTTAGGTTTACCCTTACTTTTAGTACTATTAAGAGAAATTCTATAACTTTTTCGAACTAGTGCCTGAGCTACTCCTACCATTTATCTAATAGTACTATTTCGTATTCTATGCTTTCTAGTTTTTTCACACATCTAACATAACATTTTCATTTTCGCTACTCATTTTGTCACTATGTTGTTTCCCAGTAACCCAATATTTTGTCCCATACAACATTGCTATCCTTATAGTTGTTCGATAAAACTTATCTTTCAATTTTATTGGTATCTTTCTATCACCTAATATGCCTGAGGTTTTTCTCCACTTAAGCCAACTGACGTTAATTCTATGAGTTACATCATCTCCAATCTCTTCATCATTTTTAATGATCAATCCTAGAATATTTAAATCGTTTATTCATTGGTATTTTTTGATTTTCAATCTTAACTTTTTCACTATGTCTACTTCTTCTATTATTAAAATTGCATTGCATATATTCAGTTTTACTCATACTTATTTTAAACCCTTTAGACTCGAATATCTCTATCCAAATTTTTAGCTTATTGTTAATCCCCCTTCCAGTTTTATCTACTAATACAATATTATCTGTAAATACTATATGTCGTGGGACATCATCTTGAATGTGCCTAGTGAGGTAGGTATGGACTTAGGGCCAATCCTTGGTGTAATCCCACCATGATTGGAAACTCTTTACTTTCTCTTACGGAAGATCTAATTGTAGTTATAACTCCGTCATACATATCCTTTATCTCCTCTATATCTATTCATTATTCTTTTTCTCTCAAGCACCCTACATATTACATTTCTACACACTTTATCATACCCCTTTTCTAAATCTATAAATACCATATGGAGATTTTTCTTCTTCTCTCTATATTTTTCTATGAGTGTCCTCAATAAATATATAGCTTCTGTAATTGATCTATTAGGCATAAACCCAAACTGATTTTCGGAGACTGTATTCTCAACTCTTAGGCGACGTTCAATGACCATTTTTCATAGTTTCATTATATGACTTATCAATTTTATCCCTCTATATTTATTACAATTTTGAATATCTCTTTTATTTTTATAGATAGGTACTAAAATACTCTTTCTCCATTCATTAGGCATTTTTTTAGTACCAATAATTCTATTGAATAATTTCGTTAGCCACAACACCCCATCATTCCCTAAGCACTTCCAAACTTCAATTGGAATCTCATCCGGTCCTAAAGCCTTGCCTAATTTCATTTTCTTCAATGCAAATTATACCTCTGAATTCTTTATCTTACAAAAGAATGTTTCATGAATCCTACCATTTTCTATCTCTTCTTTGTTTCCTAAGTGATTTTTATTTAATAGTTTCTTAAAATAGCCTTTCGCCTTTAAGTCTTCGCCATTGATGCACTTAACTTGGTTAAATTCTTTTGTTTTCCTTTCTCTAATTTTAGCTAGTTTATAAATGTCTCTTTCTCCCTATTTACTATCTAGTTTTTTTGTACAATCCATCGTAAGTTTTGACGTAGCATATCGAACTATCTTTTTTACTTCCTTATTTGCTAATTTATATCTTTAGAAGTTCTTGCAGCAAACTTCATCTTCTGAAATCAAATGTATGTGTCTCTGTCCATCCATAATGTTGAAACAGACCACAAAATCTTGCCTCTAGCTTTGCCAACCATCGCAGATCTCCTCTCCCACTATAGCCCCTTTTTCACTACTTCCTTTGCCCATTGTCAACTCTGCCTTGGCTAAGGAGATCCTATCAGAAGCTCTAATCCCCCCTTTGCTCTACGATTAGCTTCAACAACCTTAACCATCAGTTTTCGACTTTGAGGAGAGCCTTGGTTTCGTCTATGGAGAGACCCCCCTTTGCCTGTGTGAGAAAGCCCTATCATTCGAGCTCTCTCCAACAAACAAATGTTTGTGGACCAGGCCTCTACAATTCTGTAAAACCCTCTTAAATTAAAACAGCCCATCTTACCAAGCCCATTAGTAAAAACATTTGTTTCCAGCCCATTTGTTTCTTTATCTCAGCCCACCTTTCTTCCTTAACAAAACCCTTCGTGAACCATCTCCTCTGCCTTATCCTTAATTAATTCAAATTTTGAATTCAAATTACGGTCCATATTTGAATTATCCTTATCAAATATTTTGTGTTGGAAATCAACAAGATTAATGGCACTGATCAAGTCATTAGAATTTTTTTCAATCAAACCAAATTTTTGCATTTATTCTGGCCTTGTCTTTCTCCTGTTGACATGTAATCCCCCTTTGTTTGCAGCTCATTTTTGGCCGATTGATTTTCCAATATGCTAGTTTCAACAACTCTCATCTTCAACCTTTCACCCAATGCACAAAATCTCCGTACTACCTTCGCCTTGTAGTAATCCTGTAACACCCCCCCACTACCCAGCAAGATATTGTCCTCTTTGGCACAGGGTCACGGAACACCCAGCAAGATATTGTCCTCTTTGGCACAGGGTCACGGAACACTGTTCTCCTCCCCTGCCCTCAAGGGTTTGTTCCTCCCAGGGGTTCCCTGGGAAAAGGCCTCTTGCAAGGTAAGGGCTGAAGGCTTACTTATAAGCCCAGCAACTCCCCCCTCCGTAACCGATGTGGGATACCAGGATCTCACAATCCACCCCCCTCAGGGCTGCACGTCCCCGTGCAGCTAGGTCACGGACTACCGTTCTCCTCCCTCCTACACGCTGACCCGTGCAGGGCCCCACACTCGGCACCGCCAAGGGGTCGGCTCTGATACCATTTGTAACACCCCCCCACTACCCAGCAAGATATTGTCCTCTTTGGCACAGGGTCACGGAACACTGTTCTCCTCCCCTGCCCTCAAGGGTTTGTTCCTCCCAGGGGTTCCCTGGGAAAAGGCCTCTTGCAAGGTAAGGGCTGAAGGCTTACTTACAAGCCCAGCAACTCCCCCCTCCGTAACCGATGTGGGATACCAGGATCTCACAAATCCTTTCTCCTTTCAACTGAACATTCTTGTTTTCTTCAACATTCGTAGAAAAAAAAATGTCTTTGTCTACTTGGAAAGGCTGTAGATGAATCTTTATTTTTAATGCCTGTACTAAGCATGCCTGGGAGTACACAAACGAACTTGCTTTAACACATACCACAACACACCTCCATTTAACCTTTTCTTTAAGCGTATTTTCATCCCCGTTAACATTTGCAGGAGTATTTTCCTTATGCATCTCAGCCCATGCCCCATTTCCTTGCTCTGTGACTCTACATTTTGATACCACCATCAGACTTTGATTTTCTTCTTCTTGTATCATAGTATTCCTTCCACTTGAACGAGCATCCTCCATTAATCCTCTAAACCCTTTCCATCCAATGCCTTGGGAGCCTTGGGGAATAATCAAACCCTTCCTTTTACCATTATTCATCATTTGTGTAATCCTAGCAAACTCCCCAAACCTGCTATTTTCCAATTCCATCCACATACAATATTCATCCCTCCTGAACTCTCTAAAGAAAATATCTTGTTGATTCCTGGATATAGCTTTAGAAAACATCTCCTTCAACCATCTCACACAACTTCTATTCACTAAGCATGAGAAATATCCAAACTAATTTCATTCGGTTATGCGAATAAGTTCACCATGCAAACCTTCAAACTTGACTTTAAAATGCTTATGATCAATCGTAATCTCCATCCTCTTTCTTTCTTGATTCTCACAATTTCAACAATGTTGGTTGTGGATTATAAAGGTTTTGGAAAGGGAAGTAAAGGAAGTACTATTTGGGGATGTGCTTTCTATGCAATAATTTGAGTGATTTGGTTGGGGAGAAATTCAAGAATCTTTGAAGATAAGTATGAAGAGTTTGATGGGGTTTGGAACCGAATTCACTCGTTTGCAACTCTTTTTTGTGCTTTGGTTTCAAAGGAATTTGCAAATATTTCGCCTTTTGAAATCTTGGTAAACTGGAAGGTGGCTTGTGATTGATTAGCTTGTTTTCTTGGTTTGGTTTTTTTTTTTACCTTTTTATGTACTACTTTTCGATGGTTTGTATTTAGGTTGGACTACTTACCCATCTCAGTTCTTCATTTTTTTACTTTTAATAAAATGGTGTTTTCTATAAAAATAAAGAGGGGATTTTACATTTTTGCTTTGCTGATGATATAACAAAACTTCTCAAGATTTTCCATAACACAATCAATATTGCTCCAAGCCCCCACCAGCTCTAGTTGCAAACACAACAGTCCAACCCCTCAGCCAAACCACATCAGCCTACTGCCTCCCCCTTCCTGGGGGGTGGGCAACATATGAAACATAGCCTACCCCATGCAACCTTTACCCTCAAATTTACCATGTGCATGAATGTATCGGAACTTACCCTCAACGAACAGATGGGAGCAACATTGCTATAATGTCGTAGCAACGCACGTCACACACAGTAGGGTTCCATTCTGGTTTGTCTCTCTTCCTTGCTATATAATATACCATGCATGAATAGTCAGAAAGGTTGGAGATATGTGAATATGGAGAGAGAGAGACATGAATGAGTGGAAAGTTGAACAGTCGGAAACCTGGAGGTTACATGAGAAGTGGGAGTTATCAGTTAGTTTAAATATAGACTTGTCCTTATCTTGAGAAAAAAACGATTAAATGACGTAAAAAAGAGTGGAAGGACCAATCATAAGAAGCCAAGTAATCATTTTCATGGCTAAAAAACTCAAAAATTTGGAATGAAAGATTAGAGACTTCTCAACACTACTACATTTAAATAGAATATAGAGATTCAGTTAATAGAAATCATGTTACTTACCGGGAAAAATATACTACATATCATTTTTACTTGCCAAAAGTTTACTTGTTATGTTTTGAAGTAAAATGTACTGTTTTCTTTTGCAGAACCATGCTGGGTATGTGGCAAAATATAGTTGCTAAAAGGGCTGCTCTTACTCCAAGCCAAACCAAGGACTTGGTGAAGAGCATGGTGGAAATCCCAGTGAGGAGAAAATTTTCTGTGTGAGCAATTGTTGTCGCCCTCGCACTCTTTGGACATGGATATGTTGGGGCACAACTCCTGCGATAATTTTTGTCTGGGCATTCTTCCCTTGCTTCTGAGGAGAGAATTTTGAATGGACTCGACTGGCTCAAAACTTGAAACAAGGATTCTGTGGAGCTTGCGTTACGTAAGGAAGTTGAAAAGCAAGTCAATGCTTGCACATTAACAGCTTTAGGTAAACTCAAAACTGAGATAAACACACTGAGAAATGTGCTGATGGACAAGTCAACAGATCTGCTAGATGTGTACGAGGGAATGGCGAAACTTAGGAAGCAAATTCTGGATATGGAAGCTGAAGAGGATAAAAGCTGAAAATATCTTTGTTGTTTCTTTTGAACTACTATAATTTCAGTATAATGCAAACATGCTTTGGAAAATTCTCTCTTTTTGATATGTACTTTTGCTTAACTTGACTGCTTAGGAAAATTCTCTCTTTTTGATATGTACTTACTTATGACTGCTTAGGAAAATTCTCTTCATTCGATATGTACGTACTTATGACTGCTTATGTAATATTCTCTCTCCCCCTTTTTTGCTAAATTCTGTGTGTATTCATGAAGATCAGTTACAAAAATATTATAATTTGGGGTAACATTTTTTGGATGATCTAATGTGAATATGCCCAATTTGGGGTTGTAAGATACAAGAGCGTGGAATGCATAGGACTGCTTTGATCGTGGTAATTGTGTTTCTATACAACAAGAACTACATTATTTATTAAACTCCCACCGTAGAGGTGGGTCTGGTGACAAACCACTTCGACACAGAGACATGGGGAGCCAGACATCTGTTTGTCTCCAATCGCTCTCTAACGCTGTCAATGTAATGAGAAGTTCAAGGGGGATAAATTAGAAAATAATGTTGGAATTAATCAAAAGCATTACAAAACATGTTTTTCATATGCCCATTCACTTCGGTGCACACAATTTGCTACAATTCTGACTTACGCTTAAATGGACATCCACATGACTATTACTTCACTGAAACATCATACATAGCATGAGAAATTGAACTATGTAAACATAACTCAAATTGGAAAGTGAAGATACCACTATTTCCTCTAGAAAGAATGCTTGCTCTTGGTGAAACCATGTAAAAAAATAAGTTGTAGCATCCTGTCTGATATTGGACCAACATATCAGACAGGATGCCACACATTTTGAAACTAGGATGACAATTGTATTCGTTTTATCCGTATAACCTGTGAATAAAAAATTTAACGTTTATTTTTATATCTTAAATTTCATTATCTTTTAATCGTGCCTATGCTTATATTTTTTTAATAAATTAAAAATTAACTTAATAAATATAATAATAAAAATATCTTTTTTTGCATGAAAATTAGTTCACTACTTGATAAAATATATATAAAAAATGTATTTTATTCTTATAATAATACTTAAACATGTTAATCGTGTCAGTTTCGCATTATTCGTATTTGACATTATTCAAACCCATTTAATATTTGCGTTAACGGGTTGTGTCATATGTGGGTTCGTATCGAGAAATGATCAATCTTAACCTACTAATTTCATGTCGATTTCAAGTCATGTTTTCATGGTTGTGTTAAAATTTACCATTGTTATTTGAAACACAGCCATATTTCTTATTGCAGCAAATTCTTCACCGGCTTCCTTCTCCATGTTAAAAGTTCTTGCCATGGTTTCATATGCCCGATACACATTTGAAAGCCTTTCCGTCTCTTATTACTTGGGGTTGAGATAACAATAGGTGAAGGCTTAGCAATTTGTGGCTGGTTTGTGGTTCTCAAACACTCAAAATAAGAATAAATAAAGACATCGTGAATAGAGGATGATGATGCACAAAACTGTCTCGTGCAAGATCAACAGTCGAGTGTGTGATAAGGTGTAGTTAATGGATAATTAATAAAGTAATCAATGCAAAAAGGTAAATATCGAGTCAACACACAGATATATAGTGGTTCGATCCGGATAACTTATTCCACTCCGAGAAACGGCTACGGTGGCTGGTGAACCTTTATTGATGGAATAAAGTAAAAGAGAGGGAGAGACAAGGCTAGTTCCAGGAGTGGCTCAATAACTAGCAGAGAGAAAGTGTGTAGAGAGGTGTGGTGAGATCACTATCGACAAGTAAGGCAGTTAAGGGGATCGTAGACAGAATCAAGTGCTTAGGCTAATTCGGTGAAGCCTTGGGCAACACCTCAACATATCCAAGCGAAGCCCGAGGCGACGCTCAAGGATCCTTATGGCAATGCTAGAGGAGGCAAGCTAAGGAGCGCCAGAGGAGGGAACAAAGGTTACGCCTAGCGTGCCCTAGGCAACGCCCATGGGGATGGAGAGGCTGGCGGTGCCCATGGCACGTTTGGAGGCTACTTGGGGAAAGGAGGTGAAGAGCACGTGGGAGGTGGTGACGCTGACTAGGCGCTAGGTAGGGCGACACCAATCACAGACGACGACGAAAATGGTTGGCAGGCGACGCTCATGGCGTAGAAGGGTCTGTTGGCAACGCCTTGCAGGCGCAGGGACATAAACGACAGTGGATTGGGCGACGCCCCTAGGTAGCTAGGTGGCACTTGAGGTGTTGGGCAGCTGCTGGAGTGAGGTGGGACAAGAGCGAGCTAGGGCGGCACCCAGGAGGCTGCTGGGCGATGCCAGGAGCAATGTCAGGCTAGGCGACGCCTTGCAGGCGCTGGGCGTTGGTTGGAGTATTAGAAAACTATGAAAAAGGGCAAAACTTTGCATGGCCGTAACTTTGCGCTCGGTTATCCATTTGAGGCGAATTTTTTGTTGAATCTAGGTATTTTTTTGAGATCTATGACATGTTAATTGCCAAAGGCAATTTGGTCAAAAAAATTTCTCAAAAAATGCTCCTATCTCTCTGAATTTGAGTTTTAAGCATAAATTAGTAAAACCAACAGTGGTGGAAAGTTGCGTTCTGGCAGACAACTGTCAGGCATTCATGGGCGACAGATTGGCATTCTAGATTTTTACCAAGTAGAGATACTATGATGGCTTTTGATAGGGTAAGAGGCAAACCCGCTTTCTCCAATCCTGCTTTTTTCTTTATGTTTTCTCGATGTTGGTTTATTATATTAACCTTGTCTTTAATTACAGACGCCCTGTTGATAGGGTGATGGTGGAGGTTTTCTACATTTTAGGGTGGTGTCTTCCCCTCCTCCCACGAGGGTGAGGTTTGATGCCTCCAGTGTTTCTCAGTCAAGGTTCGATGGCTAGGTTGCTTCCCGAGGGTGGGACTCGGTGTTGCCCCCCACCCACTCCTTCTTAGATTGTGACTCCTGTGTGTACTAGGGCTAGCCCTTGTACCATTGTAAGAGTTGAGACTTCAATGCGGTTTCTATAGGGATTGTAGCTCCATATAGTTGTTCTGCTTCTAGTAATGGCTCGATGTCAATGCTTTGACTTGACTTTGGAGGTCTGTGACTCCCGGGATATCAAAGAGGTTGGATCTCGAGGTCCAAGGTATGCTTCTTTTCTCAACTTTGATTTTGTACTCGTCTCCTTTCCTTCATGTTCTGCTTTTTGAATGCTTGTA